AAACTTCCTTCTGCTTCCAAGGAGCAGACAAGCATACTGTATGCAACAAATCCAACTCCCTGAGAGTATTATGGTCAACCTTAGATTACAACATCATCAACAGCACTATAGTAGGGAGAGAATCCTAAACTCGTAGCCAGGCTTATTGCCACTTCCAGAGGCGTGCTTGGGGATATCACCCTTCTAGAACTCTTTTTCTATCTTTGGGCTATCATATCTAAAAATGGGAAATAACCCCAAAACATAGGAAACTTATCTTGTGGCATGTACTGTGGTGATCACCATGAGTATTTTATATTAATCAGGGACATGTTTAGCACTAATACCCAGTGCACTTTTAGCACCTGTTCCTCTGTTCAGGCTTGGTGCATCCTTTGGGAAGGTTGTGCTACAATTAAGTTTTAAGTAAGGGAGAGACCATAGTGCACCTAATGATAAGCACAGTAAGAAACTGTAGAGAAATCCACAGAATCAGTAAGCTTTTGGTCTTTACATCAGGTTGTGTCCTGAAGCATAATACTAAACCCTGGTGAAGCCTCATTCTTCACACAGTTGTGATGAGATCTGCGGAGTACATGCTTTAACTGTATCCCTCATCCCCACTAAACCAAACAGTGTAATTAATCTAGGGATTAGTTTTCAAAACCCTGCATCGTTGCTTTTAGTTTCAGCTGACTTCCATCCAAATTTTATGCCATTATTCTTTCCCCACTTGTGCACTTTCAGAGTTAATCATTACTAGTAAAGTTATCCAAAGACATATTCAGAGGAGCATCACTTTACAACAGATGAAGAATCCTGGACTGTTAATTACAACTCAGCCCATGAATTAGTAGTCACGTTGAGTGAGAAGCTGCTTAGGGACTTGTCCTGCTTAATAAGTCTCATTTTCATATCTGCCCATTTCCCCAGAAACCTACTCTATCATTAAGCATCTCCCAAATAATCTCCCAGATCTAATTCTAATAGATATTTATTACTGAAACATCTTGTTTATTTTAATATGGATTGCATAGCTTATGCTATAATTTAATTTTAAAATGACTTACAATATGTCTTACAGACAAAATGTAACAGATTTCATAAATACACACAAGCCTGGTTTCAAACTAGAACTGAACATCACATGACGCTTCAGTGAGCTTTAGCATCAGTGCTGTGCTTATGAACAGGAACCAAGGAAAGTCCAAGTCAACAATTGTAAGCTGTCACACTACAGAAGACAATTTTATGGCTGCTGTTACAAATTAATGTAGTGTGTATTGTTATCGACTTGGAAAAGAGCACTGATTAAACATATGATTGAAGCCTATAAAAACATGACTGGGACTGAGAGGATGATCAGAGACTGTTTGACCTCTGGTTCCTTCACTACAAGCCTGAAGTGGGATGTTTTGAAAGAAAGAGGAGATGCTTCTTCACATACCAGATTGGTTGCAGAATTTGCACAGATTACTGAGTGTAAAGTTTACATCTGTTTAGAACAGACCAGACATGGGAAGAAAATCTACCAAGGGTTATTAATACAATTGAAACCATCTGTGACCAGAGAAATTCCTGGATTGCAAAATGCTGGAGGAGAGGAGAGCATTTTGAGGAAGTATCACTATGTCTGCCCTGGTTTTAGACCCTCTATGGCATATTTGCTTTTGACCCTTGGAGAGAGGTTGTCCAGGGATGGTATGTGGGACTGCTTCAGGACACCATTTGATATGGAGACAATCAAACAGACATACTCTGTATATTCACCCTTCAGTAGCACAAAACATAATAAACCAATTCTGATAAAAAATTACGTATGCCAAAAAGTAGTTTCATGGCCTCAAAACCTTTCCCACACACAAAATTCCACCTACACAAAACCCAGATGAAAAAAATCTCTGACGTCCTTAGTTAGGGAGACATGGGAAAATTCTGTCTTACAATGAAGAACTAAAGCTCTGGTCAGCTCTTTCTCAGCACAGCTCTTCTGTGCACCCAGGTGGGAGTGAGTAAAATAAATACACTGACAGTAAAACAAGACCTATACCATGACTCCTTGACTCATTTCTAGGGACAGAATAACTAGCAATATATAAGCATGATGTCACATAAAATAAATAAATTTAGACCTCAACATTCATAAATCGTTGCCACAAGCATGAAGACCAATACAAGAAAGAGAAAAATATGAGTAACAGCAAAACAATAAATGCCTCCTGTTTTATTGACTGAAGATCTTTGACACAGACCAAAAAAAGATGAATTCAAAGTCAAGACTGATGGGAGAAATTCAGGACAACAAAAAGCCATCAGATCCTTCCCATTAAGCACTGCTAAGTTCACATTCCAAATTTAACTCTTTGGTCTTTGTTTTGTCTTCTCCTTGGTTTTGTGCAGCATTTTATCAGAGATTCTGAAAAGAAATTACTAGCAAAGCTACAGTAGGAACATGATGCTAAGCTACACAGTGATGTTTAGTTTGGGATCAATGAAATCCTGTAATTTGTGCATCACTATTTTTCTGAAAAATGAATCCTTTAATTTTTTGCACAAGTTGATTATTCTCACCACCAACCCTTTATCCTCTTCTCAAGTGCAAATACCTTTGAAATAAAATGTTGCTTTGTGGTATGAGACCTTCTCACGAATGTTCTCAGAAACTTAAAAGGTATAGGGCAGCACGTGTGCAGAGAAGTATTTTTCCAGCAGCTATGGACTCAAGAAGATCAAAAAGGATGTGGTATGGAAGAGGGAAGAGTCAATGACCTGAGCCTACTTTGCGGCAATGGGACTCTGCTTGTGCAGGAAAATTCATTGGCCTTTTCAATGTCCATGGTTTAAATTGCCTGTCTTTACTAGTCAGATCTCTGTGGTGAAACGAGAAAATGGTTATTTCAGAACTGCACTGAAGTCTTCAGTCACCTTAGACTCATAGCACTGCTGAGCGGGAAGGAAATGTAAATATACGTACAAGATAATAATTGGTATTTCAGCCAGCCTATATGCATTTTTCATTAACTCTCAGCATGCTCAATATTCTGTATAAGACCCCCAGTGGCCTCTGGATAACATTCTGTCTGTTATCTCCTCTTTCAGGACACTTATTTTCTTGTGGTTTAAGGTTTAAGATTCTCTGCTGATCTTGATTTATATGCACTATTTCCCACCAACAGAGGAGTTGCTCTGGTCTATGAGGTTCACACACAGTGTGCTATCATTGATAGAAATTCTCCTCAAACCACAACGTGTCTCTGTTAATTAGTAGGGTTTTCATAAATTTCTATTGAAGGCTTAACTAGCTGTTTGTTTTTATAAATCATGAGATCAGATAACAGATAACAGATGCTGATTTTGCCAATTTTATCCTTCCTGCCATTTGTTACATTGCATATTACTTCTTTATAAGACCAATCATTGATTCAGCAGCAGAATACTGAGTCCAGTTTTGCATCATATCAAGCATAGACTATCTCAAATGCAAAGTAAAATCTGTTTATATTATTTGGACAATTTCCTATCCAATACACGATTTAGAAGTGATTATTAATTAAACGTTTCAGACTCATCTCATTAAAATATAAACCCTTCCACTCCAAGTTCTTTACCAATTTCCCGGGAACAGGTTTATTTTTGAGACACAGTCCTTTTTTTTTCAATTTATGTGAGAAGTTAGATTGGAAGTTCACTCACAGTGAAGGTCAAACACCTCTTATTACATGAACCAGAAAACAAATGATTTCAAGAGCTGAACAATCATTCCATGGCTGTACCACACACATAGTGTGGATCATAAATATGTAGATGAAATACAAAATTTGGAATTTCATGGTAATTATGAAATGGTAACAATTGCATTCTGTCCTGATTTTCAAGTTGTAGTCAAATAAAACAATAGAAATATACTTTCTGAAGAGTTCCCTCTTCATAGCTTTTTCTCCATAATATACTTTTGGATCAAAGTAGTGGTTTCAGAAATTTCTTTGCTAGAAAGGCTCACACCTGGAAATACATATCCATACCTAAAGAAAGAAATCAAAGCCCAGAGGAAGAAATGGCTCTCACTCTGGAGGACAAAGCTAGAGTAAGAGTTGTCTCTCACCAGCAGAGAGGCATGACCTCAAACCAGAGTAACTCCCAACCTGGCTGTCTCACAGCGTTATCATATGTCAATCTTTTCAGGGTCAGTGACTGGCAATAACATCCTAAGAATTCTCTGGTTTCCTAACTGTCTCTGACACTTATGAATAAATATCTCCTTGTCTAACCTTGCTACATTTATGAAGGATGTGGGCTGCAGGAAAGAAGCATTAAAGGTTCTGGATGCTCAGAAATATATCATATGTGTTAAGTACAGTTCATTAATGAGGTGACCAGACAGCTGTAATCAGATTTGGTCCTTGCAATATGCTCACAATAATTCTTTTAATAATCTCTTATTAGCCAATCTCAAGAACCATCTTCAGACTTCATCTTTCAAACACACCACTTTCAGCACAAAGGGTCTCATGAGAATACTTTTTTTTCTCAGTTTCTCTGATAATATCTTTTCCTAGTTCTCCTCCCACTGCTTTGATCTTTACTACATTGAATTGTCATTTCTTCCGCAGGATTCTTACAGGAGTTTTGTAGACCTTTGACAACAGCCTTTTAATTATTATTCCCCTCTACATTTTGTATCCAGGTTGCATTATTCATAGCTGCACATTCCACTACCATTCACCAGCTACCACTGATGATTCACAGACTCATGTGTTTACTGCAAACCTGAAATTTGTTCAAACTTTCTGTGGGTGACTGACAATCGGCTCAGTTTCAATGCCTGAAATCAAACTTCCTTCTTCCCAACAAAACAAAACAAAACAAAAGTCCAAACCTCGACGAAAGCCAGACTCGAGCAGTGCCCTGAGACAACTTCCCGTTGTCCCCAATGACACTGGTTTATTATTCCCTTGTACATCACGATCTGATATTTTATGCAGCTGGGCAAACGCCTTCATTTTACGATAACGCGTGCAGCAACCGCAGCCAGGGATCCTTCGGGCTCCAGCGCTCTTGGCAGAGGCCGGTGGGTACCGAACGCACCGGGGACCGGCGCCTCGCACCGGCTGCTCCTCCAGGGAAAGCCCCTACATTTAATTTCTGAACTGCCCTTGGTGCAGAGGACTCGTTCACTCCGGGAACGCAGCTCTGGGAAGCAAAGCAAGGGATGGGGATCCATGGGACGGGCAGCGTGGGGCCGGCGCCGCCCGCGCTCCGCCAGCGCCACCTGCCGGCACAGCCCGCGGGCAGCGCCGCTGCCGGGCCGGAAAACAGCCTAAACCCCACAAAAACAGAACAGGAAATAGCAAGAAGTAAATATAATTATAATTATAATTATAATTATAATTATAATTATAATAAAATAGTGATGATGGTGGTGATAATAAAAATAGTGACCACCAACCCAGAGCCAGACCAGAGCAAGAACTTAATGTCCATGCCCTGTCCCTGCCCCGGCACGCCCCTGTGCCGAGGAGCGGCGTTGCCATCTTTTCTCTCACTGATGGAACCGAAATGAACCATAAAGTCTCTTAGTGTTCCCTCAGCCCAAAATTTCTGCGTTAAGCAGTGTTTAAAGCTAAAATAACACCTCTGGCGCAGGGTGTTTCAGCAAAACATCACTGTGAAGCTGGTGAGACACCGAAACAGGCTGCTCAGATGTTGTGGGTGACTCATCCCTGGATGTGTTCAAGGCCAGTCTGGATGGGGCTCTGAGCAACCTGGTCTAGTGGAAAGTGTCCAATCCTTGAAGTTCTGTCTATGAAAATCTGTGGCCAAAGCCCCCCATCCTCACAATGTCACAGCCAGAAGAGGGCCAGCTCTGACACTGGAGGGAAATGTAGAAACAGCCTGGAAACTTCTACTGGAGAGGGAGAAACAAAGATCAGAAATGAAGCTATTCAAATGGCTAAGAAAATCTCTAATAGAAAAATAAACACGAAAATGTGGACAGTAACATTAGCAAAGTATCATATATGCACACATTCACTCCATAAGCAGTGAAATCAAGCCAAATCATTGCTATGTATTTGATTTTTTAAATACATATTAATTACACATAACAATGTGCTGTAATTGAAATATGGTTTGCAAGTTGCTCAAATAAATAGTGTCAGTTAGAACTTTTCCCTCAAACAGAACAATTCAGCTGTAATGCCTTTATCTTGAAAAGAAAAACGTAATTTTCAATTTTATACATTAACTTTTAATATAGAATGATAATATAACTTATTACATGAATGATACTATGAGTGAAAATAAAATTTAGAATTATTTCCTTTTTTATATATAAAACTGAAAATCCTCAAGTATCAATTCCATTAAGGAACACCAACTTAAAAATCCTATGATAATTTTAGTTTCAATTTTATTACTCATCTTTTGTGAATTTTTCTCTTCTCTAGGAGATTTTATTACTATTGGAGTCTCAGTGGAGATTTTACTTGACATCAATTTTTAGGTAAGCATTTCAAGATTTATCCCTGATTTCCCTGCATCTGGTAGGAAAAGAAAGTTTTGATTTCTGCGTCATGAATAAGCAGCAGTAGCACTTTTCTGTGTTTATCCCTCATACAACAAGCATAGAGCACTCTACAGACCACTGATAGAGTAAAACTTATCCAGTCATCCCTTTCATTACTCAGCAGTAATTGCAGCATTTATTTTAGCACTTAAAACTTAACAACCACTACATCACCCAAATACACTAGTCCCATTGGGATTTAAGACCATTATAAGAATTCCGAACATCATCAATGTATGAATTATACTCTTACTGTTATTAAATTTATAGTATTTTAATAATCACATCAAGCAATAAAGAGTATATGCATTTTAAGCAGTAGCACTGAGAACACAGTGAGTTTAATGTTGCACATTGGGATGATTTTACCCCTGTAAGCCCACAGCAGGACAGCGTCCTGGGCAGCACCGTTTGTGCACATTACTTCATTTCTTTCCCATGCTAGACACTGACTTGGCTGAAGTATCTGGCAAAGCTCTCTGCATTATTACCCAGCACCCAACAAGACCCAGAGCCACCAGCTAAGGACAGACCTTCTGCCTGCTTCCGCTGTGAAAAAGAGTTGGAAAAACATGATATTCATATTTTTAACTAATTGAGCCAATTGCAAAATCATTTTGTATAAATTATCATCTGCTGGCAATACAGTTAGCTCAATTGACCCTAACTGAAAATTTGCAACTGGATGTGTTTCTGTGGACAGGGTTGGGTGGTTGCTTTTATAATTGTTTTTAAGTCAAAAGTTCTCTGCAGAACTGCCACGTGCACAGTGCTGCAGCACACCTGCAACATTAGGATAAATTCCAGATACATACCTATATTATCTCTTTTACTAAAGGGATTCCTGTACTTAAAAAAAAAAAGAAAAAAAAGAAAAAGTGAAACAGTTGTAAAAGCTACTAGACCTTTAAGTTAAGGTATCATGAAAAACATGAGCAACATGTCCATCTGCTAACACAGTTCATTGCAAATGCAGGACTGTGAGATATGAAATCTTAATTTACACAGGCACTCCTATCAGAATTTGGGGAGTAACACATTAGTTGTTTTACAAGCCAACAGACATTACTGGCAGATTACACTGGCATTTGTTTTATACCTTGGTGGTGAAAAAGGCTAAGGGATTAAATATTGTACCTGTAGCCCAGTTAGCCACTTCATCACATGGACTTTTTTTTCCAAGTTTTCATTTGCAGTGTGAAAAATTTGTGCAAAATTGTTCCTCTCAATATCCTACACATACTTTATCAATGCTGTGATCTATGTACGCATTGTAAACATTAGAAGAAAAATACTTAAGAATTAAAATCAAACAATAAATATTTTATCCAGAAAACATTTTTAAAACAAAACTGTATGTTAATTGTATGCTAAAACTCCTCTTAATTAAGAACTAAACCAACACATATTAAAAGGCACTTCAACTGATAGTACATCAGCCAAAATTAGTTGATTACGTGGCTTTAAACAGCAGTGAGGCTGCTCTACTGATCTAAATCTGAATGCTGAACTGCTGAACCCATTTGCTAGGATAAATTTAGCTGTTCTTTCGTGTTCCACTTTCCTTTGGTACTTGGATGCAGTGTATAATTATACCAGTGCAGTTAGATAGCACTTTCCATCTGAATGTCTCAACACACTTTTCAGATTTAATTACTTTGGGCTTGGAAACCCTTCATGACGTAGATAATAATAGTCAAATTTAATAGAGAAGTAAACAGAGTCAATGAAAAGGGGAGTACCCAGCAAAGTACTGAAATGAAGCCTCAGTCTCCTGAAATCTATTTTTTGTTGCCACTTTGCTTTTGGAGACATATGAAATCAAGATGCTCTTCAAGTTTAGCTTCTGGACATACTAGGAAATACCTTGCTTTTGGCAATGGTAAGTAGCTTGACACTGACTTTACTTGTAAACCCTAGTAAAATCCAGACACTAAATAATTCCTCATTGTCCTTGAAAGTATTTTAACCCATTTACATGCCCAGTGGATCTCTAACAAGTAAGTCCAGGCCTGGGGAAAGGCACAGTGGTATCCTTCCCAATCCTTCTAAACAGTCAGCATTGCTTGGTACTAGGAGTTAAGCACTTACACAGAACATGAAGCCAAGATCCATCTTTTGTCAGCATGAGAGAAAACTCACACCGTGCACTTTTGTGGACAGTGTCCTATCATTTCACTTTGTATCTTTCCTTTTCAAGCTGTTTTTCTTAACAGAAAATAGACAAAATTAGGGTGTTTTTCTGAAATCTAGTAAACTCCCTTTAGCATTAGTTCTTGGCTGTAAATGACAAATGAGGTACTTAAATAATAAAAAAAGGTTTTATACATACATTCTCAAACTATTTCACCAAGTAAACAAACAATATACTTGAGAGACATAAATCTCACTGGTTTTGCTCGAACTTCCTTATCAGCTGGCTACCTTGGAGTTTGAACGTAAGGGAAAATAAACCCCACATGCTCATTTTTACACATAATATTTTACCTCATTTTTTACCCTAGAGAATTCCTAAATTTAACATAAACTTAAGAACTGGAGAACCCCTCTCTACTCAGCCCTAAAAGCTGAGGACAACACCTTGCACTGTTTTAGCACCTTGGTTTATCAGGAGGACTGAAAATTGCATCTCTGGCACCTGGAGCTTTGACACTGGCTAGTCAAGAATCAGGAAGCTGTTTTTATTTTCAGATCTGTTTTTCTGGGCTGTGGGACCTTCATTCAGAGAACATGGCTCAAATGCAGAATAGATGCTGTCCATAACAGCCATGCCCAAGCTAAGGGATGAACTGAACACACTGGCAGCTATTAATGCTACGCACTGCTTGTGTTAACAAGCCCAGCTCAAAAGGCAGAGTTTATTAGGTGGAATCCAGGAACATGAAAAGAAAGGATAGCTGCATAGCAATGTGCTGTATTAAATGATAAATCAGCCATGCAGAAAGAGAGCAGAGAGGTAAAATGCTTATTAGCATTTCCCTTGCCTATCTAGGTTACTATAAAGTATTCACTACTTATTTGTCTGCCAAAGCTCTAATTCTTTTTTAATGCCTAGGAACACATAATGAAGTAAAACAGCTAATTGATTGCTAACATATGAGTGGCACCATGTGTTGCTCATGTGTACCTACATCGTTCTTGGATACTACTTACAAAGAAGTAAATGCAATGCAAGAAAAAGGAATCCAGAATACATCCCCCTGCTCACCCTGAACAGCACTTGCCTCTTTAAACTATTTCACGTTTTTCAAGCAGTGTGGGCTGTCACCAACACAGACCACATAGAGGTCATACAACTGGAAGGATTCAGCAGCACAGAAGAACAGAATTGCAAGGAAAATGTCTCCATGGTAGTTATACTCCTCCAGCATGTGTTTCCACAACCCAGGAATGCTAACTCCTCCTCCTCGAGTACAACCATACAAAGAGGGTGTACTTGTTTACAAGATCAATTACATCCTGATGTTCTCAGACAAGCCCAACCAGCTACTTCCTCTAACTCACAGTTCTAGTTAAGAGTTAGGGGTAGCTCAGAACAGAAAGCATTGATTCCACACAGACACTGCTAAGGCTGTGAAAAAATGTAATCTAAGAAGACCCTTGTAGTGATTATACAGCCATCGTTCCAGGTCTGGCTTTTCTTTGCTATTATTGTTTCTATCAAGTGCAGATGGTTAACTACCAATTGTTTGGATCCCTGGATTATCATTTAAAATCCTGAATATAACATCATTGCAGGAATACATGAAGAGATATAAGAAAACTGAGTATACTGATAGATGCCCTTAATTCAATAGCACTCAGCTTATCCTTTGAATTCTGTTGGGCGTGTATACCTATAATGTTCCTCCCTTATAGCCATGCAAGTAATTGTTAGTGACAAAGATTAATCTTATTACTGGCTTCCTTCACGTTAGGATGAAGAAGCATTGGAGATATACAGAATGTTTAATGATGCATGTGGCATGCAAGGGAAACTATGTAATTTACTGGGAAAGACACTGAAGGAAAGAGTGATCAAGCAACACATCACTGCTCCTCTTTCAAGAAAAAAAAGGAATAATAATTTATTTTTTTTTTTAATTTCCTGGTGCACAGTTCATCCCCCAACTAAAAATTCTGCAGTAGAAAAATTGGCATTGCTCTAAAATATGTGCTTGAATAGTGAGAGTGATATAAAACAACATAAACTTGCATTCTTTTTGCATTGTGGTATCTCATATTTGAGAGTGAGGTATAGTTTGCTACAAGCATAGTTCATGGATGAAACATTGTTAGCAGCAGTTTGTACAAACTGAACATGTTTCAGGACCAGTGAACATTATCTATAAAAAGAATGTGAGGTAGATACTGCTATATCTCAAACTGTTCACACACTTCTGAGCACTAAAGATACTTGTGAGTGCAAAGAGGACATTCAACATTTAATAATATGAGGGTAGAAACTAAACCAGTCTGAACCCTGCATGAAGTCCAGAATGGAATTAGCTATGGAAACCATGGTGAAAGTAAGCTGGTACCTGCGCTGTCCTGCAGAACTCTGCCCTCACACTCTGCAAAATGAGCTGCAGGACCCAGGGAAACTTCCTAAGCATCCCTCAAGCCTGCCCAATTAGACCAGTCTGCAAGGACTGTAACAGTGTCTCATCTTTTAAAGGAGGGAACAGAACCTCAGGTAGTATAAATTACTCTTGTCACTTCAATTCCACTGCCTATTTAAAGCAATTTACACCGTTTGCCTTAGTGAGCAAAGGAGAAATTGGCCTGGGAACAGGTATTATGCTGCATTTGCAGATTAAAACCTCTTGTTCTCATGAAAGAACTGGGCTTGTAATATGTAACACATTTTGTCTCTGATCTAGCTTAGACAGTTTGCGACAGATGTGTTTTTTAAAAATGTAATAACACTATTCACTATGAAAACCATATAAGCAACCTTCGCAGAGTTAGGAGACAACAGATATTCCCTGTCCTAAGTAACAGTTTTGTTTAAATATAGTATTTCCTTGGCAAAATGAGAATCTTTTAAGTATTCATAAGTATTAATACCAGAGTTATACATTTAGAAATGGAGTAAATGGAAATTTCCACTGTGAAGAAGTCATGTCTTCTAATGCTCACTCAATACTATTTCTGATAGCACCCACTACATATCGGTGGAAGCCATCTTATTCAAGCATTAAATCATGTTTGCTAGGATAAGTGTGATGAAGGGTTATCACAAGTATAACATCTACTTTCTGGATTATTAACTTCTGTGAGCTCAAAGTATTTGTTTTTAAAGAAAAAAAAAAGGCAAATTAATACAAATTGAAAAGGCAAAGAAGGTATTTCCAAATGCTTTGAATTTAGAATAAAACACTGACTGCTTTTCTAATATAAAGTCAATGTGTTACCATTATCACAGGCTAATTATATTATGGACATACCACAATGTGATTTGGTTTTTTCTGCCTCTTTTGTTATTGACATACAAACTTTCTTTTCCTGATAGATTTGATAAACTTTTCCTAGAGATATTTTTCTCCCTGTGCCTGCACTGAATATCACTATGACTCCACAGCAGTGAAGTAACTGGTATAGTGACTATAGTAACTGATAGAGTGACTATTGTAAAGAGTTTGTTGTCATGTTAGATTTCATTTCAGTCGACTTCAAGTAGTTTCTGTGCTGAGATGCTTTGTGTGTCCACAGTTACAGCTAGGCAGGAGTATTTAGAAATGCTGATAAACAGGCAGCTTGTGTAAACAAAAGGCAAAGCACTTTGTACAGACTTTGTACTGATACTAATCCTTTCCATTACTGTGCTACAGAGTTTGAAGCCAGAAGGGACCACTTAAGTCCTGCAAAGGATTGAAAAGAGTTGAAGGGGAGCAAATGAAGAGAGAAATACACACCTGGATGCAAAGTATCATCAACAGTGTCTCAGAGCTGACATGCCCAGAAACCTAATGCAAGAGGCTGGGGAAAGGCGGGGAGACAGCTACTGCACACTGCAGACACCTTTTGTTAGCTGGAATGGTAATGCTGCAGCATTCCCTCTTCCTGGACTGACACATAAATGCACATTTTCACTGCTCACGACTGGCAGCTTGCCAGCATCCAGAAAGTGGGAGACGAAGGAGGACCTCCCCGTACATGAAGCTCAGTAAGGAAAAGAAAGCATTATCAGAAGTTGGGAAGCAGAAGTATGTGTAGAATCCTCCTTAACATCACAGCTTTAGAAGCTTGTTGTTCATTTATTTACCACTTTCTGCACTCTTTCAATTATCTTCCACCACATTTTTTTTTTGTTTTAATAAAAAAAAAATCATGCATATACAGTACATAAACCACTATTTTAACATATAATGTAGAAGTTTCCCATACCTTAGTCCCATATTTATATACTGCCTGAAATTTGCAAATATTTCTTGTGTTATATATACCAGTGTTGTATATTTTATCAAACTAGCAGATGTTAAACTGCCTTAACTTCTACAACCTTTGTGGAGACCCTCCTTTTCTGGACACAGTTCCTACTCTCCACTTCATCTTTTTCTCCTGGAGGAACACATTTATATTGGGCCATATTGACTCCAAAACACCACACTAGATCCAGTGTGAAGTAAAACCTTTAAATTGCAGATATTGTACATAGGGTAACGGTTAACTTCAGGCTGCTCATCTGCTTCTAGTGCACGTTCAGTAACTGAATGCAGGATCATGATCTCCATTTCTGGATGACTGGAGAACTGGTATTAGGTTCACCAAGTCAATTTGTTCATTTTTATGAATCACAAAAAGAAGAAAGTAGAGGGTCCAGCAGAGGACTATGAAGCTGATCAGAGGACTGAAGAATCTCTCCTATGAGCAAAGGCTGAGGGAACTGGGCTTGTTCAGCCTGGCAAAGAGACAGAGGGGATCTGATCAGTGCATATATAGGTGTCTTAGGACTGGGTGTCAAGACTCTTCAGAAGTGCCACAGGTTACAACAGGACAAGGGGCAAAGGGCACAAACTGAAACACAGGAAGTTCAACCTAAACATAGGAAAAACTTCTTTACTCTTAGGGTGACAAGCTGCCCAGAGAGGTTGTGGAGTCTTTTTTTCTGGAGATATTAAAAACCCACCTGGACACAACCCTGTGCAAAGTGCTCTGGGTGAACCTACTTTAGCAGGAGTTGGACTGGATGATCTTCATACGCCCTTCCCAAACCTCTCCCAACCCCAACCATTTTGTGACTGTGATTATGTGAAAGTGATTAAGTTGATGAGAATGTTGAATCAATTAAAGTATCTCAGAAATATAAAGAATCTCAGAAATTATCCTTCTACTGGTACTACACGTTGCTGAGGCTCAGTTGTTGAGTGTCTATACAAATAAAGGTCTCCAGAGTTCTCATTCTTGATATAGTAATTACAACTTAGAAAGGTTAGAAAACAATTTATAGGCTTCAGGGAGCATATGATGGCAAAGAAAAAGTAATTTTATTTTAAAAACCTAGAAGGTAGTGAGTAATAGCTGCTGTTTTGATCTGCGAATTTATTCTACCTATCTAAAGCAGGAATTTTATCTTTAAATTACATCAATCCTTCCCACAAACATTCACCATGAAAACTTAACAAGAAAATTTATTGAACTGAAACACACAGACAAATTAAAAAGAGTCACTACATTCACTACAGTGGCTGATGAGGCCATCACCAATAGAAGATACTAATTAAGAAATATTTCCTGCAAAAATATCCATCATCCTGAAATTGCTCTGGAATTAAAGAAACACTGGTGGTTTTCTTCTGAACCATTTATTTCTAATTTCAACAAGCTTGAAAAAAAAAAAGGATTTTCCTGCTTCTTTCCAATAAAAGTGATTATTCAAAAGGAAGAGCAAAATTGAATACTACAAAGGCGTACTTGAGGCAAAGCAGTCTTTTACCACATCTAGTACTTTGATATACCTGCCTCATTCAGGGTAAAATGTAGTAAAGTTACCAGATCCTCAGTGTTAGAAAAGAAGATGAAAAAAAATTACAACACTTATAATTTGAAGCTGATGCAATAAATTCAAATAGCTTTACTTTGAGGCTTCATATTGCCAAAAAAAAGAAAAATAAAGAAAAATAGCATCCTCATTAATAGTCTGGATCGTTTGCTCATGTCTTTACAGCTGAAGGCACTTTTGCTGTTCTCTCTTGTAGGGAAGTGGGCCCAGATCCATCCCCTGCCAGTAACAACAGCTCATGAGAACTCAGCAGTTGTGTCCAGCAGCTGACACAGGTACGTGGGGAAAATAAAATACACAGAAATAGTAAATCTTAACCATCCTTGAGGCAATTACTTCCCAGGTGAACACATTTTACTTCTGAGATATTTTCCTTATGTCAGTTTGGATCTTCACTGCTGTGATTCCACTCGCCTTGCTCCAGTCAGCCCATGGTGTTACCCTGAACACACATCAGTCATTTTCACATGTGCACCACAGCACTTCCCAACACCTTAACTCCTCCCTGAAAATATATTTTACCTCTGGTAGTTTGTATACATTTTTTAAACCTCTGCTCTGAAATTAACTCCCTTGATGTTACAGGTGTACTTGTAGGTATTCCTTTGATTTCTGTCTAATTTCTCAGTATTTTAACATTTCCAGAATCCTACATAATGTGCATCTCTATTTAAAAAAATGTATCAGTGGTGTGATCCCACTAATAGAGTGTAAACACGATTTTTTAATATTGTTGTTTCTGTTATTATTATTATTATTGAAATCTTTCTCAGCATTGCTTTACTTCTTCCTACACTGTAATTCAGAATATTAATAATTTCCTTTATCAACCTGTATTTTACTGAGCTGAATCTCTTCTTTTTTCTTTCTTTTAGTTTTTCCTTTTTTATTTATTTCCTGGTTTTGTTCAGTGAAGCCTCTCTCTGCCCCTCTGTGGTTTTGTACCTTCAATGGTATTTGAAACCAAACTTTGTATCCTATGCAAATTTAATGAACATTCTGACTGTCTCCTTCCAGATCATTAAAGATGATGTTAATCGAAGCCGAACTTCAAATCTGCCCAGTGATACTTCATTAGACACTTCTTCACAGTTTAACATACCTGGTCAAATTTATTCTTGTTATTAAAAAAGGATAATTTCAATGAATTTAAAAACTCGCATCAATGTATGGAAGCAATGACTTTGGCCCATTGCCCCGTGTCTTTAGCCTGTATTTGCAGGCAAGTACTCAATTTACAACATTTCCCATTCAAACATAACCTGAGCCCCACGTGATGCTCTCCTATTTAAGAGTCCTGATGGTTTTTGCTTTATAAACTGACTCAGCACCTTTACCTTCAAGGCCCTTCTAAAGACCTGCAGTCACGAGAGCCAGCACAGCTGTATGATGATCTTCAAGGTCCCTTCCAACCCCAACCATTCTATGATTCTGTGGTTCACAATCTTTCTCCTCTCTTCTGCCCATGTACTGCTTTTCACTTTACTTCTTTGATGACTATAAATTATGTACTCCAGGCCAAATACTAAAGACTGGTAGTGTCAAGAGAACAAAAGACAATGACATAGGTCTCTTTTCTTTTCCTTCAAGAAAAGCATTTTGTCCATTGTCAAGATGGTAATGCACAAAGCATGCCGGGGCAGCAAATGGAGCTTTCACAGAAACAACGGATAATTTTTTTCATGTCCACGATCATAAGGGAAAATGGTTATTCAATATGAAGTGAAATACAGAATAGATTTGCAGATAGAAGAACCAGCTGTAGTTCTGAGCAGTCATGGTATCTGAATTAAAAGCAATGCAGTTCTAAAGTGCAGAGAGTTCCACTAACCACCAATTAAGTAGTTCTGCCAGAGGGAAAAGGAAAATGAGGAATGAAATATAAAACATCACCCATGCCCTTTGTTACACAGAGACATTCATTTCTTGTACAATGAAAAGAGATCTATCTCAGTGCAAAGCCGCTGTCCAGCCCATTTGCAATTATTTTGTGGCTTCTTTTGTAAATACAAAAAGGAATAGTTTTTTTGGGGAAAAAAGCCCTTTCACAAAATCTATAAGCTTCCTGTACATACCATGGGAACTGCATCTCTTTTTTAATAGTTTACAACCTGTGTCACTAAGGGAAGCTTTAAGTGCCAAGTAAAGTAAATTCCTTTTGTTAACCCATTTCCCGAGGAGTTTCACACTTAGTTTCAATGCTTGAGGCCTTCGATTTCCTGCACATCAATTTTTGGACTGGTCTGTTAGTAGCACAGCAACCCTTTACTTCACCCCATCAGATCCACAACCAATTGCTTGGAGCCAATACAGAGATACATTTACATTACTCTTCTGTTTCATTTCTAATATTTTTAATATTTTTGTCCTCTATGTTAATGAGTTCAGGGTTGGCCCCTAAATGCTTAGCCTTGTATTTCCCAGTCAAATTAACTACCAATTAGTGATAATTGGATCTGGCAATATTTTTGTTGATGGACACAAATGTACTGTGAGACAGAATGAGAGTACTAATTAAATTTAGATAGGTCATTTCTGCCTGCCAGTTTTTCTTTGAACTCTAGATGTGTCCACATTATTCTTACCTCAAATTAAATTGGTCAGAACCTATTTATTCTCAAATGTAAAACTGGACAGAAGAGTTAAAAGTGCTTTAGTTAAATCTGAACAAATATTGACTTTGTACATGTGGGTGGTCTATTGTTGGGTGGAATCTCTTTTTTTTTTTTTTTGGACACCTATTCAGCAAGTCAGTGCTTAGGGATGGAACTATCTGAGTCTGTTTGCAGGGCCTTTCATTTCTCAGTTCCTCTGCAGGCTGCTGCAGCGTTTGAACTGCAAAGACTTCAAGGTTTAAATCAAACTAAATAGTGAGAAGGGAAAAAAAGCTTTAATTGCTAGTTTGAGAGATTCTATACAAACATTTCTACTGGGCTTTCAAAGGTTAAACAAACCCCTAAAATTTAAACACTTTTAACAGTTATTGTGCTTTTGCTTAACACAAACGAAAGAATGAATGTGCCAGACCTCAGAGACCCCAAAATACTTTTTAAAAAGACTAAAATGTAGCCTGTCATCTTTCACTGAGAAATTTTAGAAGCTGTTTTAAGAGGATATACCCCTAATTCTGGGGAGCTCTTGCTATTTGTATATTTCACATGTGTTTCTCCAATGTGAAGTTGTTCCTGTCTAGTTAAATTCTAAATCAGGAGGCCTTTCCAGGCTCTTGATGTATTTTTTTTCTTTCAGTGAAACATTAAAGTCCTTCTTAGGACAACAAAGTTGAAACAGTCTTTCAAACCTTCTCAGCAATCAAACTGAAGGCAATTTTCACCTTTTTAATCAGGATACCAATAAAGGTCATGAAAGAATCCTAGCAAAAAATAAATGTTATTTAGTATTTGTAATAAAATTAATTAAAAATAAAAAAACATATTAATTTCATTAAGATTTTAGCTGATTACTGAGTTTTGCCCTAATATTGTGCAACCTGGAAAATATATTATATGCCCAAAAAGGCTTTATAGACTCCAATTATGAATTTACTTTCAAAAAGTAGAAGTGACTCTGCTAGCTGCCACGGAAGTTAACACCATAACCACAATAAAATGCAATAAAAATGTTATTATCTCTATGATAATTTATTGGATGTCATATCTTTTTCTCTTCAGCCATTTCGATAAGTAAAGTGACTTCTTTCTGGAAGTAAATAGCCTTAATATTGGAAGTCTGACAACTATCATCATACTTTAATACTTTCTAGAATGAAAGAATAAAATCTCATGCTTGTAAGTCAAAGAACAGGTATGTGAAATAGCAATTCAATATAAAGCTTGAGAATTCTTTAAATTTTTTTTAACTGTGAGAATCTATTTCAATTCTGCTTTTATATTTGGTAGAGGATAAGGAAATCTGCAAGTCCTTGATTTCCTCTGCAGCGAATTCCACTTTGTCACTTCAGAGGTCCGAGTGACACCATCATGATGGGGATGGGCCAGAACCTTGACCATGAAATTTCCCAGTAGAAAAAAAAAAATACTTGATAAAAACTGGTTGGGTTTTTTTTTGTTTGATTTTTCTTTGTTTGTTTGTTTTTTCTGTAAGTGGTGATTTTGTTCTGGCAAAAATAGGAAAATCTGAAAGTGATTCATTTCACTTGTCCTTTCTTTTACTACTGTATAAAAGTTTCATTGTCCTTTATTTTTAACTTTTTACATCAAATATATAAAATTACACGTGAGGTTCTGAAACTTTATTTTCATTCACAGGAAGTTTTAAAGGCTTAGAAAATCTGTGAATGAAATACACATGTAAAGATCTTGATTTCTTAGCAACTTTAACAAGGATATAGGCATAGAGTTAGGTGACAGTAAACTCTACAGTTTTCTCCTGCTCCTCCTCCAGGAAAACTGGATTTGTATTTTGTTGTTCCTTCAGTGACTATATGGAGCTGACAAAGTAATTTGATTTGTTTAAGAACATCTATCAACAGAGATGATGGAGTCACAGATAAACTATAACAACACCCTACAGAATTTACAATGCAAACTGATGTGCATGAATCACAGAAGATACGAAGTGCAGCAAAACAATTGTTGAGTGATGAAAATGTAATTGATGTTTTGCTTTAATTAATTTACAGCTTTTTATGTCATGTCATTCATGCTTTCCCTGACAAAAAAAAATCCAAGTGCCCAAATTTTCTTTTTCTGTTTCCTTTTTTTCTTAGAAAAAAAGTCTTTCCTGATATACTGTTCATTATTTATGTGTTACAACATGCATACACGCATAGCTAAATCAGCCTGTACTCAGCAAAAAACAGTCTAAGAAAGAAGAAACTGGAGATTTTTGTTTGTTTATTTGTTAATTTTAAACATTTAAGATTTTAGTTCTATACATATATCATTTATACATCTGTATAAAACTCCTGGATGAAACCCAGTCCACCCACATTTCAGGTTCTGCTTCACTGTAACTTTGTACATCTGTACTTACTAGGATGGGACAGGAGATCTGGCCTACCAAACATTTCTGCCAGAAGTCATTCCACACACAAACAAAAAGAGATGGGCAACCAAAGACCTCTTGAAGGAAATCCACCCTTATGGAATGTTAATTCCTTGATACACTGTCTGTACTGTCATCTCTAGAGAGCTGAACATTTTACTTGTATGAACTGTGCTTGCCTGCACTGAGAGTATGCCTCCCTGCTCATTTGGGATGCAGCCTGCTCAGTGATCTTTAGAAGGACAAACCCAGATACCCCA